TGGCAGCGTGACAGGTGCATGTCACGATGTTGTGACAGGTGACATGACAACAAWATGACGTTATTGGGTAAACAATACTGACCACCGTCACGGAAAGCACGTACACCTGAGAGAGTTTTCAGGAGAAAATTAAAATAAAATGATCAGATTTAAATGTTTGTTTCCTGAATCAATAACTTTCCTTGCTTTWAAGCAAAAATGAAGTACTGGGCTTGTAAAAGGATTTAAGATGCAGCCGCTGTACACGTCCAAGTTCCTTGGCTCAAGAATTGTTTCGAGAACATTTTTTTCAGGAACTTACATATTTTGCTTAACAATTTACAATTTCAATAAACGATGAACAATATTGATGCCATAACAAACAAATTTCGTCAAAATTCAAAATTAATCAAAATTAACATTTGATGGTATTCTGGTGACAACTTRTTTTAGGTAGCAGGGAGACGTGGTTTTGAAGTTTGCTCTTTGTATTTCAAACATGTCAAAAATTCGCCAAGGATTTCTCATTATTAGTGCCAATATTTGWGCTTTAAATATTTTACCAACTACGAAAACGTGCGGCCTAGTCCCGAGAAACTGGCCAACAAACKCTTGCGGGATGGCTGTGGTTTTGGTTTGTTCTTAGGGGGTATACTCCCAAGCCAAGCCTGATACATTGCCATACAGTCAACTTGGGCTTCCTGTGTCAATATTAAAATGTTTTTAAAAGGGGCACCATGCTTTAATGTTTAAGGGAGTACCATTCCTTAATGTTTAAACTTCACAATATTAAAATGTTTAAGGGGGTANACGCACCTGCGCAAACGTGTCGAAATTATTACCGCGCGAAGCTCCTATGGACGCCATCTTGAAACACGACAGACAAGCAAAATCATACAAAATTGACTAACTTCCACTTTTCACGGACAACATTAATGCAGAAAACAGAAACATTTTATTTTCATAAATGTTTTGATAGAATATAATATTCAAGTATGGCTTTAAACGTGTATATTAAAAAATAGAAGGACTTGCTTTGGTGCCATTTTTTCCCGCCATTTTGGCGCGCGCGCGACGTCTGTTCTCCTCGACTTGACACATTTTTGGTAAAAAAAGGTGATTGAGTTCTTTTTGATGAAAGTTTAAAGCCAATGACACAATAAACTTGATAGAAAACTCGGCTTATTTGTGTTTTTGTGTCAWTAGGTGTGAATCCCGGTTTTCATATCAAGCCTGCTGTTTCAATTTCGTGTGAACGGAAAGCTTTAGYCTGGCTCCAATAAAAGATTCTTTAAGTCGTGGACGGAAAAAATACGAAGAATAAATCTATAAACAATGAATGCAAAAAAAGTATTTCCAATGCATATTTGAAGTAATATTTATGCTACACATACAAGATTATGTGTAAATGAGTAACGTAGGCAACAAAGCGTTTGGTTAACCATCTTCAAAGCAGGAGAGCTCAAAGAAGCCCAAATAGCATAAGATATATCCTCATGAATGCGTTTGATGCATACAAATTAAATTTGCGTTTTACTGCAGTATAATATTGAGACTTTTTGCTGGCAAAAAGCAAAAAAATTAAAAGCSCTGAAAGGTGGAGGAAAATGATTTCAGTTTCGAGCGAGTCTTKCCRCAACTAAACTGGAATCTGACTTAAGCTGTATATGCACTGCTAAGATATTACAATTCAATGCTCTGTTCTAGGTGGTAACTTTATCAAGCGATATAAACCACAAGGTTTCTCCAGTAACCACATACTTAAATTCAAATTAAATATTCTAATAATTGTCAAATATCAAAAAAATTATTCAGTTGTGGTAAATTGTGGTCAAAGTCAGTGACAAAAGGAACAAAAGTTTAATCTGAGTAACTAAGAATAGAAACCCATAGTTTGAAAATAAGTTACTTAATTGAAATGATTCACTTTATTTCTATATATTCTTTGGCAATAAAGTTTTACCTGGGAAATGAGCCAAAATTTTATGCAATGTTCTATTCATAAACCTTGCCGGCCAGTAGTCGTAATTTATATCKTATTTAGATCATTTTGTATTTTGCACCTAAATAAAGAATGAATTGCCTAGGCTTATCTATGAAAAGTGAAGGGTAAAAAACGCTCTGGAAGTCTTCTTTTTGTGCGGTTTAACACCCCTCTTTTTTATCTGCATGTATTAGACACTGCAGCTCTGAAATAACCTCAAATCTAACTGCACTAGCTTAGAAAGTGTTAAAGAACTAGCACTCGTCCCTTACAACTAGAGTCATCATCATTCTTCTAGTCAAACAAGTTTTCGGACTTTCATTGTTCGTATTGGCTTTTTTTGGCGTTTTTTTATCGTTAAAAACCCTTTCTATATGGACAAAAAATTCAAGTAAAATTGCACTTTATCTTATGTTAACATTAATTGAATCAAGCTGGCAAGGACATAAGTTATTCATAGCTTTTTTTGGAGAAAACCACATGTTCATTATTTTGTAAAATCTTATTCAGAAGACACTTGACTATAACCTGCTTCTCGACAAAAAATATGATATAACCCTTCATGTGAACTTCAAGGTGTGTGCCAGATTTTGATGTGCAAATTAATATTTAAAAAGAGAAAGTTTGCAGAGGTTATTTTTAGATTGACAAAAAGTTGGCATTGTTTCTTCAATACAAATAATTTAATTCTAATATCTGTCTCTGTAAATAAACTCTATATTTCAGTGTTTAAAGTATCATATAAAATTTATGAGAGAGTGAGGTATATTCTTTTTGTCCCAAAATTGCGCCGAGTGTTGAGGGTGGATTATCTGAATTTCTGGGTCATCTTTTGGAATATTTAGGGTGGTGACTAGAAAAAGAGAAATCATTACATTTTTGCAGTTTCATTGGTTATAAGTTAGACTCGAGTCAAACCTCAGGAYAAATTGTCCTACTTCATTAACACATAAGGCTAAGACTAGATTAGTAAGGATACAAATTAAAGAAGCTAAATCGGAACAGAACATGTGAGTTCACGGTTTCGCTGTGCAATTATATTGTCGATATATTGAAAGGTAGCCATGTATCTGCATCGAAGCGAGACAACCGTTGAACGTGCAATGATAGAAACCTTCCTCAGGGAACCATGAAGGAAACTATTGGTTAAAAACAGTGCTATTTATTCTAAACCCGGGAGGTTGTTGAACCTGGAATCAGTGGGCTTTTAGTATAGGATTCAAGATAGGTTTTTCAAGGTTTATCTGTTCGTGAACACCAATATCTGTAAGACGGTGTGCGGACTTCGTTGAAGTGGCACTGATGCAGGMTCTGCTCTTACATTCATTCTCCCTTTTGATAAATTCTAAAATATCTCTTTTACGAAAACGAAGGATGAACATCCGAAGCATCATTAAGTCTTTCTATCTTGAAATGGCTCATAATTAATCTTATTATCGGCTTCATTAGGTCGTTATCTCTTCATATATCTATTAATATATGGTCCTCGCAGTTAAATGATAAAGCCTTTCAAATTATATTTTATACAGCCCTAAAATTCTAATGTCCCAACAATTTTTGCCATACTAGTRCTKAGACTGTCCTTTCGGACATGGACTTGAAGCACAAGACWCGGTTGGCGCCAGTGGAACTGGGAGWKSAGCCGGGTGGGAATTTCATGAAAAATTAAACGTACTTTAAGCCATACAACTTATATAAAGGCACAAAAAACGTCCAAGAGGTGACAAGTCATCATAATTTGACATTTTCTGTTTCTATCAATGAATGTATCTAAATCAATACCTATAGAAATATTCGTCTCAGTATTTGTAATTAAAATCAACTTTGGGAAGCAAACATGAGATCTATTATGAAATAACTTGCTATTTGAACGTTTGAATGAGAGGATTTGCTTTTTTTTGCTATTTTCAGACTTAAGGAAGGTCTTGTTTTCATCAACAATTATTTTTGCATTTCTGATTATAAACAGATTCTAATGAAATAATATGATTTAAGCCGTTTTCAAGTAATTAAGAAGCTTATTCATACGTTATCACTTGTTTCTGTTTGTCCAGTTTACCTGGTACTTATGGTGGCAGCGTGACAGGTGCATGTCACGATGTTGTGACAGGTGACATGACAACAAWATGACGTTATTGGGTAAACAATACTGACCACCGTCACGGAAAGCACGTACACCTGAGAGAGTTTTCAGGAGAAAATTAAAATAAAATGATCAGATTTAAATGTTTGTTTCCTGAATCAATAACTTTCCTTGCTTTWAAGCAAAAATGAAGTACTGGGCTTGTAAAAGGATTTAAGATGCAGCCGCTGTACACGTCCAAGTTCCTTGGCTCAAGAATTGTTTCGAGAACATTTTTTTCAGGAACTTACATATTTTGCTTAACAAYTTACAATTTCAATAAACGATGAACAATATTGATGCCATAACAAACAAATTTCGTCAAAATTCAAAATTAATCAAAATTAACATTTGATGGTATTCTGGTGACAACTTRTTTTAGGTAGCAGGGAGACGTGGTTTTGAAGTTTGCTCTTTGTATTTCAAACATGTCAAAAATTCGCCAAGGATTTCTCATTATTAGTGCCAATATTTGWGCTTTAAATATTTTACCAACTACGAAAACGTGCGGCCTAGTCCCGAGAAACTGGCCAACAAACKCTTGCGGGATGGCTGTGGTTTTGGTTTGTTCTTAGGGGGTATACTCCCAAGCCAAGCCTGATACATTGCCATACAGTCAACTTGGGCTTCCTGTGTCAATATTAAAATGTTTTTAAAAGGGGCACCATGCTTTAATGTTTAAGGGAGTACCATTCCTTAATGTTTAAACTTCACAATATTAAAATGTTTAAGGGGGTACCATGCTTTAATGTTTAAGGGAGTACCATGCCTTAATGTTTAAACTTCACAATATTAAAATGTTTAAGGGGGCACCACGCCTTAATGTTTAAACTTCACAATATTAAAATGTTTAAGGGGGTTCCATGCCTTAATGTTTACGAAGGGAGGGGGCATTGTTATTAAATGTTTAATGAGGCTCAACATCTAAACATTAACACAATATTAAAATGTGTAAGGGCATAATTACTGAGGAACCAAAATGTCTAAATATCAGATCAGTTGAATGCTATGAATGTAAACGCTATGAATGTACATTACCTCCAACTATTTGACAAGTTTATTATAATACAGTTCATTTGTTTATTGCTATATCAATTTTGTACATAAAGATGCAATAATAAATTCTAATATCAACTGGAAACATTCACTATCAGAGAAAATTATTTACACAATTTTTCTGCTTTTTTTTATAATGTCATGATTTTCTTTTCATAATTGAAGGAAAAAAWCTCTAATACAGTAGTTTATATATAAACCCACAAAAATCTAACATCCCTTGTATTGTCAAATAACTGTTATTTTTTATCTTATTTTATGATAAAGAATTTGTGTTCCTGATAGAGTGATCACATTTAAACCATGTAATTGTACAAAATTTAAGCACCACTAGTTTGAAGTAAGGTGGTTTTGAATGCTTCATTTATATCAATTCAAATTTAATTTGCGTACCGCATGCACGATTTACTAAATACAACTAAATAACACTATTAATTTTAGTTTGTACAGTTGCACAGTTTAAGTGTGATCACTCTAATGGATTTTAATATTCATTTATAAGAGTGAAAAAAGAATAATTCTAAAGTCCTAGAATGTATTCCTTGACCTGTGAAATACACTATAACATTTCTTGCCATCAACAAATATGATATAGTGGCTTGCTAGAATATCTTTGAGCCCTTATATGTACAAGGAGAGGGGGAGGGAAGAGGAGGAGATGGGGGTTAGAGAACCCCAACCATCATGCATCAGGAGTATCAACTATCCATACCATCTGCGTCAGTCTTTTCTGCTTGTTCAAGCACTTGTTTTAAAAGTTCATCRACAGTTTGGTCTTCATATTTGTTTTTAAGATCATCAGTAACATCCAGTTCYGGCACTAAAACYCGCAATAACTTTAAAACATTCTCTCGCAGGGAATACAGYTGTTTAAGCTGTTGWGTYCTGGTTAATAGTGCTTGTAACTGCTGCATTGGCRACATTGCTTTCACCTCGTCGACAACGTCCTTATCAATGTTCACCATTTTGCAATCTTTAATCAGTTTATCAACTTCTTGTTTTTCCTTTTTTGTTGAGCTTGTGTCCATATTTGGTAACTTTGATCCGATATTTGGTAAGTTTGAGTCCATATTTGGTAAGTTTGAGTCCATATTTGGTAGGTTTGAGTCCATATTTGGTAAGTTTGTGTCCATATTTGGTAAGTTTGAGTCCATATTTGGTAAGTTTGAGTCCATATTTGGTAAGTTTGTGTCCATATTTGGTAAGTTTGAGTCCATATTTGGTAAGCTTCCATCCATGCTTATATCTGGTAAGTCTCTAAATGTGTCACCTATGGAGCTGACAGGACTCAACGGGGGAGGGGAGGGTGGGTCAATTATTATGATATCTGCTTCTTTCTTTTGTTTAGCAGCAGGGCTGTCGTCACTTGTTTGGTCATGCTTTCGTTTTAATCTGGTAGCGCTTGGACTGAAAATTAATCAAAAAATTTATTAGATTTTTTCTTTCAATTACCAGAGAAATGATATCATCACATTTTATTTCCTCAAATTCCAAAATAACATAAGCACTAATTTGTTTCAAAATCTGCAACTGAAGCAACGCAACCTGTGAATTTTCACTCACTAAATTGCACAAAATGGTATAAAGAAATTATCAAGGCATTAACAATAGAGCCTATTGTTCTAGCCAGCCAATCACAATGACTTATATTTAGAGCTGTGAGACCTCTGCTAGAGAAAGAACAACAATAAATCAGCACTCAAACCTTGTTGGTTCTTCTTTGACACTAGGTGGCACTGTTTGTTCATTTGTTGATGATTTTTGTTGACTTTGTGATTCTGTCTTGATGATTGGTTGTTGAGGAAGAGTTCTGTTGCTGTTAGCAGTTTCTGTTTCTGTCTTTACCTGGAARACACACACCAAAACATACACTAAATAAAAACTTATAAATTAGTTAGTTTCCTTTCAAAGAAATGGTAAATTTATTCATTCAACCACAAACTAAGAAGGCCAAAGAATGTAATAGTATCAAATACTGTGGATAGGGTTTGACCTCCTTTAGCATCTGCATGATGACACAGGGGCAGTTGCTAAAGGGAAAAATCCTGAATTTACCCATGATGAATTAGTATTATGTTAGAGTTAGTACTGTTCAAGGTAATAAAGGCAGTACACCAAGCTAGCAGAGACAATTACTTACAAATATTTCAATAGTGAGATACAATAAAAGTGTRCAAGGTAATGATGAAGTGCAAACACTAAAACCATGAAAAACATTAGTAATTAAATAAGGCTAAATAGTCTCCTTCACGGTTACCTG